TAATATTTCCTTATTGCACTATCCGTTTTCCCGAAGTGAGTGTTAGCACATCCTCCACGCGGATATAACTTGCCTACAAAAAAACTAGACCATCAGATCCAAAGTTAGCCTTCTTCCTTGCAAAGTAATTCGGATAGAGGAAGGTAGGGAGTGGGACTGATATCAAAACACGAAAGGGGAAAGAAAGACAACCTTTATTAGGGATTAAATACTAAGTATTTCCTAGATGACCCCCAGGAAAATGCATCTAAATGGCTGTTTATATTCCTCCTGCGGCAAATGGTTGCAGTTTTAATATGTGACTTGGTCAAATATTGTGCCAAACACGATATTTGTTTACACAAATCTGTGACCAGCAAATATTTGGACATTATCACTATTTTGACAGATACCATACCTGGAGCGAGAAATGGATAGCTGATGTGTGTGTGTGTGTGTGTCAACGTGTCATCTCAGTGGTTGTATATAACTGTGGAAGTGAACTGGAGAGTGTCGCATGGAGTGACAGCCCGTAGGCATCATCAGACTATGAAGGCCATAGAGAGAGAGGGGGTAATTTAGAGGGGGTGCCAGAAGTTGGTGAAACTACTAGATTGCTAAAAAGGCTAGAGGGTTGATTATTCCTGCAAGGTAGTATTCACTTTTTGGAGCAAGCGATCCTCATCCTCTCATAACAGTGTAAGTCATATCAGGCCACCCCCCAAAACAACTACCATCGCACGAGTTCACAAGATCACATCCGGCCATATAATCTCTAAAAGAACACCTTTACAGGGAAAAATATTGCAATGTTTTGTCTGCTCTTGATGGAACAACTAATAGAACACACCTTTGGGCATAGAAATGAGGATAGCGGAGGTATTATCAAGATTTGGCTGTGAAGATTGCACGAAGGACTCACTTCCACGCACTTATCAGGTTCAGTGCTCGCTGTTTTCGTCATCCTAGGTGTGTACACCAACACACAGAGAAGGACAGCTTCGTAGCATTGCATTCGTAACCAGTGATATGGAGGCGATTTCAGCCCTGTGGCATGTCAGGGCACAAGGTACCCATCGGACAGGCAGGTAGGTCTGACTACAACCACAACACTTGGCACTGAGGCAGTGTCACCTCATCGCTTCGGTAAAGCTCAGTAGTTGAACCGTTAAATGTCAAAGTCTACAGATTTAGGGAGGACAGTATCCAACTTATCCTTATTTGCCAGGCAGAAAGTTGCATACCCTTCGAATCTCCCAGTTCTCTACGTTGTCTAATCACTCGTCGATTTGGTTTTCAACTGATTCACTTACCACGATCTTTGGAGAAGCCATGTGAGACCATCAACGGGGAAGAAGGATGTCGTTACACTCGTGCATAGGCAGAAGTGTCGAACTGCCACTTTAGAATGTGTTGAGACATATCATGAAGGAACTTGATGGACACTAATTGCACCTTTACTACCGCATGCAATGCTACCCCGAGCTGCGTTGACCGCCGTCCAAGCCCAATCCACCCGGCAGCCATATGCGAACAGCTCGCATGGTGGTCGGTGAGCTCGAGCCATCACGAATGCCAGTAGGATGAACACACGTTGACACTTGACACCATCCCTTGTACATTTGAATATAGTTCCTTCTTTTCCACCCTCTCTTTCCTGTCCAATCACTCAGCTTACTGACGTCGATGGGACGGGAGGTCTTCCTTACCTCACTCCGACGTGTGAGAGCTCCGGCAATGAGCATTACCTATCCAAAAGTTGGGTCGAAACTGCACCACAAGCATACACACAAACACAGACATACACACAAGACACGTAACGTTGTGTAGGGTTAAAGTAAATGACAGCATCCACCTCCCAAAACATGGCGCAAAAGCATAATCAGCAGTGTGTTTATTAGTGGTGTACTTATCAAAGTCTCTGTTCGTTGTTTTCGCCTCCTTAGGTGTCATGCCAGTGCATAATTTGCCGATCACATGGGCAGCTCTGACTACAGTCAAAATATTTGGCACTGATGCAGTGTCACCTTACTGCTTCGGCAAAGCTAGGCAACAATAAAGCAGAAAATTAAAGTCAAAGCACATTGAGGAGGACATTCTTCCACTTTTCATTATTTGTCAGGCTAATTGCGCCATGCACTTGGGATGATCTGACTTTACTGCTCTATCAATTCACTCGTCAATCTGACCTTCAAGTGACTCACTTGTCAGGCTTTTTGTAGGAGTCAAGTAAACTCGCTTCTGTAGGAGGAAGAAGAAGAAGAAGAAGGGAGACGGAAGCAGAAACACGGAAGACACCCGACAAAGTGTCGGGCTTCCACTCGACACTTCTGTTAAATGTGACACATAGCAGCGCATTAAATATATTCATGAAAAGGCCTTTTCTTGTCCACCCCTTTGTCGCCTTTACACTGCTAAACACACCCGCAACATCTGTTCAACGATGACTGCTAATTGTCCTTTTGCTGCCTTCCCTCATCCTCATATTCGTGGCTGCGTTGACGCTTGCCTGCCTCATATTTCCCACTTTCATCGCCTTGCCGACCGTCCTTCCATGGGCAATAAAATGCTTGGAAGTGTTTCACTTTGTGGTTTTGCAATGTCACTATGGTGGATTGGAGGCAGTAGAAAGAACCGATGTTGGGGCTAGTTAGTGGGTTGAGCATGCAGAGCAGGTGGAGCATTGCTGCTGCTGCTGCTGTTGTTGTTGTTGTTGTTGGTGTAACGGAAATAAGGAAGCATCAACGGAAGGTGACTAGGTGGAAGGAGTGCTTTCTTATAAACTGTCTTTTAAGTAGGGCTAGGCAATTTTCCTGTCCTCCGTTTTTGGCTGTAGGGAGGCATTCCAAGTAAGACTTGGTCGTGGCGGATGGTGATGAGCTGAATATGGAGTGGCTGAGGACTGTTCTAATGCATGCACAGCAGCCCTATTATGAGTTGATTCATGTCCGCATCTGACGCAGCTCACCTCTGGTGGTATGCATTCCACCGTTTTAGCTCACGTAGACAATGCGGAAATTGGTCCTTTCTTCACAAACTTGAATGGTGTTTCTGTATTGGTGATAGGCCAACCAGGCTGAGTCATAAGCATCATCCCCTCCATCCCGCACTTTGTCACGCATTATGTCACATTCCTTTACTGATATTAGGCACGAGGTCATCGGTTGGGTCATTTCATCTTAGGTGTGAGGAGCTCTCCTGCATTGGATTGAATTATGAAATGATTAGTGGAACAGAGAGGCCGTAGGCCCTGTTGTTCAGGCTGCAGAATGCGAGCCACCTCCCTACAGTGGCTGCATTCAAATTGCTCCACAAACACGCATACACACATACAAGGTGAATGCTACCGCTACAAAGCATCACATTGTAGCTTGGAGATCAACCAATGCATGGAAATAAGCACTCTCGTGGTTGGATTGGCTAACGCTCTTCTGCGTCAGGTTCCGCTTGATTCAACTGGCTACACTTCTTCTCTTCTTTTTAACCCTCTCCCTCCCTCTCTCTCTCAACCTGCTTTTCATGACACCTACGTACTGTCATTTCAAGGGACGTTGTCCAGTCCACTTCCACACTGACATGCAACCACTGAGGTGACACGGTGGTATGACCCTTTGCTGTTTGGTTCTTGTTGTGGTTTTGCATCTGTAAGGCAGTAAACTTATCCAAATATATACTGTTTACAGACTCGCATAAACAAATGTTGCCTTTGACTTTCATTTTGCCAAAATACAAGTTTGTACCAAGTGCATTGACTGGACGGGTGGGATTTATTGCAGCACTGAATTACAAGTGGACAAAATTCTTCCATTTATCGTTCTGATGACAGCAAGGCGTTGCCCATAATTGAACCATGAATGCGCTTCCCTCCTACCTTCCCTCTTTACATTCTACATCTCTCACTCCTCCCCTTTTTCCTTTCTTCATCCCCTTTTTCCTTCCGCGTTCCATCACCATTGAATTGTAGGGAAGAAGGGTAGCCCTGAATGTGATGTGTTATTCTGATTTGTCTACAAGTTTCAACCAACCTGACTTGGAGAAAGCCCTAACTTCAGGGTGGATATTTTCCATAGGGAGACATTATCCCCATGTACGCGTGGAAATGTTTGTTGCTCGCGTCAGGATCCAATTTGTGCTCTTCTTGCCACTACTTACATCCTGCCAGCATTCCTTACATTTTGATCTATATTCTTCCAAAAACAAGGTTCAGTCTGTGGTCTATGCACAATCCATCAATCAGCCTACATCATGCCATCCCACATCCCAAGTCACTCACTCGCACATTCACTGCCGACTGACGCATGAGATAACACAAAGTAAAGCGCTTTCTCTTATTCCAATGATAATTGCTGCATACTCGTCAAGGTGGCAAAAGCGACAAATTAGACGAAGAAAGAGAAGTAGTAGGAGAAGAAACGCTAGGGGGGATTAAGGCAGTCACGAATGCAAGTGTGGAGGCGGACGGCAGCAGGCAGCAGGGCAATTAGTACTCATCGTGGAACGGATATTCCGGGTGCTCCTTAAGGCTGAAAGAGCAAACGGGGAACAGGGAGAAGTGTGCATCTATTCACAGGGCCTACCTGACTTCAAATACATTACAAGGCTCATTAATCCTCAGTACACCATATTAACACATAGTGGAAGGGGGTTATGGTGGGGAGAAGAGCCCTCCATATCAAGAAACAAGGACTTACGATGCAAACAGGAATAGGCGCCTGTATGTACCAATCGTAC